CACAGCTATACTTTAAGTCGCTCAACTAACAGTTAATATTTCTGCCTGCTAAAATTAATTCTGTACAAGCTCTACAGATAAGCTAAATATAATTAGATGGATTTAAAGCAGTGTGTTTTAATTACTTAAGGGTACAATCCTATGCATGTTTAGGCAGAAAAAAATTCCCAGTATTCTATTTCCTAGCCACACAAGACTTACTCCTGTCTAAGCATGTATTAGATTGCACACTTAATACTAAAAATGGGTGTTTAAAATCAACTTTCTCCTGCTTTTAGATTACTCTGAGTACTTCTTCCCCTACAAGATAATATATTCATTTTCTTTCTCAAACGTTAAAAGGTCCCTTTCAAAACAGTTTATACTGAATTAGTGTGCTCATATTATAATAATGGATATAGTAAAATCCATTTCATATAGGAATGCCCAATAGCTAGGAGGACTGGCTGGTCCTCTGGTCTGAACTATCTCTGGTTCTTTCAACAAGTCCAAGTACTCAACCTCAAATCAGAATTCTCAGATTATGAATTCAGGACCCAGTGTTAACATTGCTTCATTGTCCTTTCAGTTTTGCCTTTATCTTATTTTCCTTCCTAGTTTTCCTCAGCATTCATCTTGAAAGATAAGTAATTTCAAGATTTGACTTTATAATGGTCATCTCACCAGTTCTGGTAGGGATGACAATGAAATATGCCTAGAGTTTTAATCATTTAATCTTTATCATTTCGAAACCTTATTCAACTGAAATATGAAAGATCACAAGAAAATGTGGATTCTGTCTGTCATACGTGTATGACTGCAACAGACTTTTAATATAATTTATCACTCCAGCAGAGGAGAAGGCAACAATATTTTATATCAAAACAAATCTACATGGTGAGCCAGTGTGGTGTAGTGGTTAAGAGCATGGGACTAGGACTCAGACGATCTGGGTTCTAGTCCCCGCTCAGCCATGGAGCCAACTGGGTGACTTTGGGCCAGTCACACTTTCTCAGCCCAACCTACCTCACAGGGTTGTTGTGGGGATAAGATGGAGGAGGAGAATGATGTAAGCTGCCTTGAGCCCTTTGTAGGGAAAAGGCAGGATACAAATTGAAAAATAAATAAAATAAATAATAGCTGTTAGAAAATCTCTGGACACTGAAAAATATCTTGAGAGTTTTGAGAGTTTCAAAATTTCTTAGGGAATCCTTTTTTTTCTCTTTTTGCCAAAGCTATGACATAACCATGTAATAGCACAATCAAAATCGTGAAACAAGTTACTCTGAGTTTCTTCTCTACAAGTCAATGTTGCAAGAGAGGTAGAGAACTACTATTTTCATTTTTTCCAATTATGACTCACTGTTTATATAGCACAGTGTTCAAAATGTGTCACATTTATTAGCTTAGTAATCTTTACAGTAGTCCTGTTGAGAGAATAATGGATTGCCTACGGCCACCTACTGCATTTGTGGTTGTGGTGGGAGAGCCGTATCTCAGTGGAAGCTTTGTATAAGGGATCTCACATTCGCTTCCATTTTGAAAGATCCACTAGAATGGCAGCAAAAGACCCCTTTCCCCAGATGTCCTGGAGAGCCTCTACCAAAATGGATTATACCTGACTAGCTGAACAAAAGAATGAGTTGATATAAGGCAACGTCCTCTGTTTCTATCCATGAACTTCTCAGCTAACACTGTTTCATAACATAGCTTCTACTAGGTGGCTCCTAGCATTATCAATCAAAAGGCGTTGCACAGCTTTTCAGTCTTTTTTTTTTTGGGGGGGGGGACAAAGAGTTAATTATATTTATATACAGTCTTTATTCCCTTCAGGGAACTCAAGGCAGTTTACATAATTCCTCTTCTCCTTTCCATTTTTCCTATAAGATACTTTAAAACACAGGAAGTTATCAAAAGAAAGCCATCTGTTCAAATTTTGTGAATTAAGATGATCGCACCACAAAAGCCACAGCTAGAAAAAAACCATTTTCTCTGCATGTGCCTGTTAATAATTTGATGGTGGTCTGGGGTGAGTTATAAAATCTATTCTACTTTTTGTGATGGGGAAGATACAGAAGCTTGCCTGACGTACTATGTCTCTGCAATTTAGTTCTATCTGTCTTTTTGTTGGCAACTCCATAATACCATTATTTTATAATGAACAAACAAACATCCTTTGTTACTTCTAATGCTACATGCTTATTTCTTTTAATGCAAGTTTACCTCCAAAAGTTCATCTCCAGTGTGCATTCTTCCATCTTTTCCAGCAGGGCCATCTGGACTTATGCCTACAACAAAGATGCTCATACGAGACCGATCCTTGTTGCCAGCAAGGCTGAGTCCAAGTCCATTCTTATCTTTTTCAAGTTCAATAATGTGCAACTCGCCAGGCAGATCTGCATATCTCTGTCTGATTTTCTCTAAAAATAAAGTGGAAATAAATTTTAATAAAGATCTGACTGAACACACTTGAGAGCCCACTATCGGGCCTATGCTGTGGCGGTGAAGGCGGCGAAAAAGAAGTTTTTTTCTGCTTCCATTGCCTCCTCACAATGCCGTCCAGCGGAGCTTTTTCGAGTGGTGCAAGGCCTGGTTCGCCCGGGTCCTAAGGAAGATCTGATGCCACCCTCAAAGGCCCGCTGTGACGACTTTGCCAGGCATTTCAGGGAGAAAATCGCTCAGATTCGTCACGAGCTGGACTCCACTAATGAATCAGAGGTCTCTGGGGAGACGCCAATGCTACCATCTGGTCCAAAATTATTGGAGGAATTTCAATTATTGCGGCCCGATGAGGTGGACAAGGTGCTTGGACGAGTACGTCCCACCACTTGCCTATTGGATCCTTGCCCGTCTTGGTTAATAAATAACTCCAAGCACGGGATTGGGACCTGGATCTTGGAAGTGGTTAACGCTTCTCTGAGGGAGGGTCGAGTGTCTGCCCCTTTAAAGGAGGCGGTAATACGACCGGTCCTGAAGAAAGCGTCACTGGATCCAGAGATGGCCACTAACTATAGACCTGTGGCCAACATCCCGTTTCTGGGCAAGGTGTTGGAGCGAGTGGTGGCGGGACAACTCCAAGCACTCTTGGATGAAACTGATTATCTGGATCCTTTTCAGTCTGGCTTCAGACCCGGGTACGGTACTGAATCTGCCTTGGTCGCCCTGTACGATGACCTGTGCAGGGAGAAGGACAGGGGGAGTGCATCCCTGTTGGTTCTTCTGGACCTCTCGGCGGCTTTCGATACTATCGACCATGGTATCCTTCTGGATAGGCTTGCGGGATTAGGGGTTGGAGGCACTGCTTTGCAGTGGTTCCGCTCCTATCTCGACGGTCGATTCCAGAAGGTAGTGCTGGGGGACCATGTCTCTACGTCATGGCAGTTATGCCATGGAGTACCACAAGGCTCCATTCTATCCCCTCTGCTATTTAACATCTATATGAAACCGCTGGGAGAGGTCATCAGGAGGTGTGGGCTGCAGAATCATCAATACGCTGATGATACCCAGCTCTACCTCTCGTTTTCCACTAATCCAGGTGAGGCAGTGGATGTGCTGAACTGGTGCTTGGCCGAGGTTAGGGAATGGATGAGGGCCAATAAACTGAAACTCAACCCAGACAAGACGGAGGTCCTGTTGGTTGGCGGATCGGGTTTCGGAGAGGGTGGATTTGACCTGGTCCTGAATGGTGCAACACTTCCTCTTAGGGATAAGGTCCGCAGCTTAGGAGTACTCCTCGACCCAGAGCTTTCTTTGGAAGCTCAGGTGACAGTGGTGGCGAGGAACGCCTTCCTTCAGCTTCGGCTGATTAATCAGCTGCGCCCCTACCTGGAGTACGACTGCCTGGCGACGGTGACACACGCGCTGGTGACTTCCCGCCTAGACTTCTGTAACACGCTTTACGTGGGGCTTCCCCTGAAGACAGTCCAAACACTTCAATTGGTGCAAAATAGAGCTGCCAGGTTGCTGACGGGGACGGGGCATTATGTTCACATGATTCCAGTCCTCTGTCAGCTTCACTGGCTTCCCATTGAAGCCCGGGCCCAATTCAAGGTGTTGGTTATGACCTATAAAGCCCTAAACGGCTTGGGTCCTGGCTACCTGAACGAGCGCTTACGTCCGTATATGCCCGACTGCCCTTTGAGATCTGCGGGAGAGTCCCTTCTCCGGGAACCCTCCGTGAAAGAAATTAGGAGAGTAAGTACTCGGAGGAGGGCTTTCTCTGCGGTGGCGCCCAACCTATGGAATTCACTCCCCAAAGAGGTCTGCCTGGCACCGTCGTTACTGGTTTTTCGGCGCCAGGTAAAGACCTTTTTATTTAAACATCATTTTAATTGTTAAAACATATGATCTGGCCAGGGCAACTTCTTCTTCCTTCTCTTTTCTCCTCCTATATATTTATTTACTTATTTTATACTGATAATTTTAATTTTATATTTGTAACTCAATGTATTTTTTGTATTTTGGTATTTAATGGTAATTTATTATGTTCTATTGTATTTCAATGTATTTTATTGTGTTGTAAGCCGCCCCGAGGTTTCGGCAAGGGGCGGCATAGAAATGTTATAATAATAATAATAAAAAAAAAGTTAGGAAAATACTTTCAGTGCAACATACCAGTTTATTGCACTTCCTTACAGAACTTTTGTCTGGCAATTTAATTCAAAGCAATGCTCAAAAGATACCATATGGACCTTTTAAAAGTTAACTCCATTGTATATATTCCCACCAGTTTAGTAGAATTCCACATAGTAGCTCAAGAGCAAACTCATACTCCCAAGGGCCAACCCTTGTAGCATAACAGGGCTGTAACAGGGTCATCTACAGCCATACTACCACTGACCTGCCTTGTGGATCTACTGATAGATTTATGGGTAACATAAATACTGTATATATTTTAATTGTTATTGTTTTAAGGTACTGTGTATTTTATTTGATGTTGTAAGCCGCCCCGAGGCTTCGGCAAGGGGCGGCATAGAAATGTTTAAATAAATAAATAAATAAATAAATAAATAAGCAAGGTGTTTTTGACTTCCAATTGTTTAACAGGAGTAGAGAGATAATTTTCTTTGCCTATGTTAGGCTCCTTGGACTAATCAGAAACGAAGCTCAGTTCAGTGTTGGTGCTGAAAATAAATTTCTAAGATCAGGATTTCCCAAGAACCACCATCTTTTGTAATTCAAGTGTATGTCTTTTGTGCCTACCCCTGGCTGGTGCAGACTGGGGTTTTAGTAAAAACCAAGTAGCTCCAACAAGGCTAACCCTGACCGTTTCCACCTCTGCTTTAGCACTAGGAAAAATCTGTCATGTAACCAAAAGAGGAACTTCACATGAATTCTTTTATTATCCAAAGTGACAAATTGGCAATAACCTTGCAGAAGTGATATTTGCTGTGACTTACAAGACTGGTTGAAGAGTAGCCAAATAGACCTTGCATTTTTATGAAATATCAAATTCAACAAGCATCTTGAGCAGAGGGCGGCTACAATATTTTAAGCATGGTGGAAAAGTAATCCTGCCCATTCCCCTTGGATGTTTAAATTCTGCCGTTTTGGATATCATCTATAGATATTATGCTCATGAATATGAGAAAGATGGCAATGAAGGTTAACTTTGAATCTTTGGAAGAAGCCCAAAGGCATGATCTTTAAAAATGTACATGCCACATAGAAGAAAATAATCCTGGTGGAAGCCCATGAGTTTCTTTCCTCTTCTCTTGATGTTTTTGCTCATACCTCCTATCATCCCTGACAACTGAGCCATTTGACTGGGATGATGGAAGAGATGGGGTGGGAGACTGGGTGGATTCAGGCTGGAGAAGCCAATAGCAAACCAGGCTTGAAGAAATCCAAAGTTTAAATAAGTACAAACTATACTTTAGGGAAAATTAACCTTAAGGAGGAAGCCCCCAAAACAGCTCAAGGAGGACTGCATATGCTTTGTGACCACAGAACTCTAGTGCCTGCTGAAGTAAAGAGAAAAGTGAAGGAAAGGAATGGAATAGAATGGAGTATCCTTATTGAAGGCAAAGTTGTTTGGAGAACAGGTTCTCCAAAGTTGTTTGGAGAACAGGTACAGGCTATGCTGCAACATTTTGTTGCAGGTTCTAGTTGTTTTTCTATGTTGTTGTGGTTGTTATTGCATTTATTTACTGCCCATAGCTGAAGCTCTCTGGGTAGTTCATAACGTATAAGTCACCCATCCAGATTTCAACCAGGCCTGGCCCTGCGTAACTTCCAAGGCAGGATCAGGCACTTCAGGCTATACAGAAGCTAAATAACCTGGACTGATTGCAAAGTAGCAGCTGAAAAGACCATACACGAACAGTGCAAAGTGAAACAATTAATCCATTAAAAGGAGTGAAATAATGCCATACATTCAGACTACACCAGCATTTCTATGTTAGAACTACCATTTCCATGGGGAGCCTGTGTTAGTAGTACAATGTTATCTGTGAATAGTGAAGGTTTCTATAGCAACAGTGGACTGAAGAGCAGCCTGCCAAACTGTCAAATTAAAAAGCACAGATAATGCTGTCACAACACAGTACACAGAAGGTCCAAACAAAGTCTACATTTACAACCTGAAATTAACGCACTTGCTTGTTACTATATGTTCATGGCTAGATGAAGGAAAATGTGACCTTTAACAAAAGAATGAGAACTTGCCTGCTGTAAATGGGATGGAGTCGCTAGTATTCATGTTTCATAGTTTTGATGTGTGGAGTGAGGTGCAGCTACACATTTTGTGCCAAGAGTCACTACTTGCGTGGGCCACAGTTGTTCAAGCCATATCGCAGAACAGCTGGTAGGCAGTCACGAGGTAAGCAGGGGACCGCTCATTATCCGGGAAGTTTATAGAGGCAGCAAGACTCAAAAGGAGGATTTTCCAGCTTGTAGCTTATACTTAGTTCTGGTGCTCCATGAGCTCAAGACACCTGCTAAGCTTGTGATCATTTTAGGTTTCTACCACATTTAAACAAATGAGTAAAGCCATTCATATATAATAAATACTATGAAAGCAGTAATCTGATTGCAACAACCAAATGGGCGTATTAGGCTCTGAAATGTGGAACAGTTGAAATCAAGGGGCAACCTGCTCTCAATGGATCTCTCCCCTTCCTTCCTCATAGTTTAGTCTACTGCAGCCTCCCCAATTTGGTGCCCTCCAGATGTGTAGGCATATCCCACACCCTCCAGGCTCCATGATGGAGGGCACCAGGTTGGGCCAGGTTGCTTTACTGGCTCTGGGATAGAAAACCCAATAAAACAGCCAGAGTGCTCTGTGCTCATCTGTGCCAAGTAGTCTGGCAGCTCACAGAGGTTTCCGGGGGACCAAAACACAGTCAGCAGAAAGAACACTCTGTTCATTCATGTCCATCACCTGCCATTCCATGCATAATATGGCCCAGTGTACAGGCAT